ACACATGGCGCTAGCAAGGGAGCGCTGTGATATGAGCCTGCTGAAAGCAACCTGGCCAGCCAGAATTCAACCCTGGGATCATGATTCAACTAAACATTTTAACGCACTGTATAATAACAGAGCTGTGCAACATAAAGTTTTATTAATGTATATGAGTTTTTTAGTTCCATTACTTTAACCAGTGAGCATGTAGCCTTTAGCAGTAAACATGTATGATGTTTTGCAGGGCAACCGGCTCTTTCTTGTGGGTTTGGTGGGAGGGGTTTAGCGGAGTGATAAAAGCGACTGAGAGAGATGCGGAAGGTTTTGCATTGTGTGTTCAATTGTTACAGACTGCTGCTTTAAAGTGGTCATATTATGCTTTTAGGCCTTTTCTCTTCCCTTTATTTTGTTAAATATCTTTATTCATGTAATAAATTTGCAAAGTGAAAAAGTCCACCCAGAAGTTACAATCTCCCACAGAAAACACTGCTCCTGAACTTCCTGAAAACAGCTCGATGGTAGTCCAGCCTTTACTTCTGTAACCTATCTGTGTCACTATGTAACACGCGTCACAATGCTCCCCTAGCGGCTAGTCAATTGGGCATGCCCTCAAAAACACTGGTGGAGAGATACACTGAGCTGCAGCACACACAGTGTCAGGACATCCCCCTCTGCCTCCCTTCACCCCCACTCTCCCTACCGAATGTTAAATACAGTGAGGAAAATAAGTATTTGAACACCCTGCTATTTTGCAAGTTCTCCCACTTAGAAATCATGGAGGGGTCTGAAATTTTCATCGTAGGTGCATGTCCACTGTGAGAGACATAATCCAGAAATCACAATGTATGATTTTTTAACTATTTATTTGTATGATACAGCTGCAAATAAGTATTTGAACACCTGTCTATCAGCTAATTCTGACTCTCAAAGACCTGTTAGTCTGCCTTCAAAATGTCCACCTCCACTCCATTTATTATCCTGAATTAGATGCACCTGTTTGAGGTCGTTAGCTGCATAAAGACACCTGTCCACCCCATACAATCAGTAAGAATCCAACTACTAACATGGCCAAGACCAAAGAGCTGTCCAAAGACACTAGAGACAAAATTGTACACCTCCACAAGGCTGGAAAGGGCTACTGGGAAATTGCTAAGCAGCTTGGTGAAAAAAGGTCCACTGTTGGAGCAATCATTAGAAAATGGAAGAAGCTAAACATGACTGTCAATCTCCCCCGGACTGGGGCTCCATGCAAGATCTCACCTCGTGGGAAGAGGATGACCGGGGCCATGTATTGCGAGATTTTGGGGAACAACCTCCTTCCCTCAGTTAGAGCATTGAAGATGGGTCGAGGCTGGGTCTTCCAACATGACAATGACCCAAAGCACACAGCCAGGATAACCAAGGAGTGGCTCTGTAAGAAGCATATCAAGGTTCTGGCGTGGCCTAGCCAGTCTCCAGACCTAAACCCAATAGAGAATCTTTGGAGGGAGCTCAAACTCCGTGTTTCTCAGCGACAGCCCAGAAACCTGACTGATCTAGAGAAGATCTGTGTGGAGGAGTGGGCCAAAATCCCTCCTGCAGTGTGTGCAAACCTGGTGAAAAACTACAGGAAACGTTTGACCTCTGTAATTGCAAACAAAGGCTACTGTACCAAATATTAACATTGATTTTCTCAGGTGTTCAAATACTTATTTGCAGCTGTATCATACAAATAAATAGTTAAAAAATCATACATTGTGATTTCTGGATTTTTCTTTTTTTTTAGATTATGTCTCTCACAGTGGACATGCACCTACGATGACAATTTCAGACCCCTCCATGATTTCTAAGTGGGAGAACTTGCAAAATAGCAGGGTGTTCAAATACTTATTTTCCTCACTGTACCCTCAATGGACGTAAAGTTGTTACTGTGATGTAGAGACAGTGCACAGTTTTAACTTTACGTATGAAAGATAAATTTTTTCGAAATAAAAAACTTACCACTCTGAAACTCTTACTCCAGTCTAGATTGCGAAGCTGGTTTGGGATCATGTACAGCTGAACCACAGCCGTGGTACCTGCTTGTCAGGACCCGCCCTACTCTGCTTCTGATTGGCTAGTAGTCCTTGATATGGACTGTGTTTTCTTATGTTCAGAGTCATTCATGCATGGGTTTTATTGCCTCCTACTGCCCATTTAAATAGTGTTTTATTGCTGAAGTAGGAAGTTGTTGCTTTAGTGATACAGGAAGTAGTTGCGCTGGGTGATCCCGGAAGTTGTTTTCAGCATGCACAAGGGATTCAGTTCAGATATTTTGGTGCTGATATAACATCTCTCTCCATCCTCCTTCATTTACATTTACATTTACTCATTTGGCAGACGCTTTTATCCAAAGCGACTTACATTTGAGGAACAACATACAAGCATCAACAGAGCATCAAATACAGATCTACAACTGACAATACATACTAGTAAGTGCAGCAATAAATACTAGTAAGAGCTCATAGTACATATCACATCAATGGGGTAAATACCTAGAGAAGGAAGTAAGAGTTAACAAAAAGTCCAATCAAAACAAATAAGTGCAATCAATACAAGATCATTGTAGGGGATAGAAGAAGAAGAGCACAGGAAGTGCATGTTAGAGGTTAGGAGTTAGAGGTGTTATAAGAGGAAGTGTTCTCAGAAGAGATGAGTTTTCAAGAGCTTCTTGAAGTTAGAGAGGGACGCCCCTGCTCTGATGGCATGTGGTAGCTCGTTCCACCATCGTGGTGTCATAGATGAGAATAGCCGGGACTGGGATTGCTTTGTGTGAAGGGATGGCAGAGCCAGGCGGCGTTCGTTGGAGGAGCGTAGCGGCCGAGAAGGAACGTAAGTTTGTATTATGGAGTTTAGGTAGATGGGTGCAGACCCAGTAGTCACTCTGTATGCAAGCATTAGTGACTTGAATTTGATTCTGGAGGCCACGGGGAGCCAGTCACTGAGTAATGGAGTGACATGAGTCCTTTTGGGCTGATCAAAAACCAGACGCGCTGCTGCATTCTGAACCATTTGTACGGGTATCACCGCACAAGCTGGAAGACCTGCAAGGAAGGCATTACAATAGTCGATGCGAGAGATAACCATGGCCTGTACCAGAAGCTGGGTGGCGTACTGAGTGATGTGGGGCCTGGTTTTCCTTATGTTGTATAGAGCAAAGCAGCATGACCAAGAGACAGCAGCAACATGGTCTGAAAAGGACAGCTGGTCATCAATCATGACAACCAAGTTTCTCACCACCTTGGTTGGAGTGATGGTTGCGGAGTGAATTTGTAGTTTGATGTCATGGTGGATAGATTGCTTGGCTGGAATGACCAAGAGTTCAGTCTTAGAGAGGTTTAGTTGAAGGTGGCAAGCCTTCATCCATGCAGATATGTCCGATAGACAGTCCGTGATCCGCGCCGAGACGGTGGGATCGCCTGGCGGGAAGGATAGGTAGAGTTGCATGTCGTCTGCGTAGCAGTGGTAAGAGAAGCCGTGCGAACGAAGCGAATGATCGCAAGCGAATGATCGACACCAGTGAGGTGGTGTAAATTGAGAAGAGAAGGGGCCCAAGCACTGAGCCTTGGGGCACCCCTGTGGAGAGGCAGTGGGAGGAGGATAATTGTCCTTGCCACAAAACATTGTAGGAACGCCCCGAGAGGTAGGATTCGAACCACAGGAGTGCTTTACTCAAGATGCCCATTGCTGAGAGAGCGGATAGCAGGATCCTGTGGTTGACTGTGTCAAAGGCAGCTGATAGGTCAAGCAGGATAAGAACCGAGGATTGGGCTGCAGCTTTAGCTGACCTTAGGGCTTCTGTTACAGACAGAAGAGCCGTTTCAGTAGAGTGGACACTCTTAAAACCAGACTGATATGGATCTAGGAGGTCATTCCGTGAGAGGAATTCTGAGACCTGTTTGAATACTGCCCGTTCAATAGTTCTGGATAAAAAAGATAGAAGAGACACTGCTCGATAGTTCTCAACTTGAGTTGGGTCAAGTGAGGGCTTTTTGAGCAAGGGTGTAACCCGAGCCCTTTTGAAAGTGGTCGGGAAGGTTCCTGAAGCCAGAGAAGTATTTATCACATGAGTGATTGTTGGGACCACAGTAGGAGATATGGCTTGGAGGAGATTCGTAGGAATCGGGTCCAGTGGGCATGTAGTTGAACGGCTACGGATCAAGAGTTCTGATACTTCGCTCTCTGTGAGAGGAGTAAACGAGGAGAGTGAACAGCCACTGACCTGGGAGGGCAGAGGAAAAGATGTAGTAGGACTGCTACAATGGTTGAGTTTGAGTGTTTCAGAGAATTGGCTAGTTATAGCCTCCACTTTGCCTGTGAAGAAGGCAGCAAAGGTATCAGCAGACAAGTTTGTGGGTGGTGGAGGTGGAGGAGGATTTAGTAGCGCTTTAAAAGTGGAAAATAATTTCCTTGAGTCAGTGGCACTGCTTATTCTGTCATTGTAGAACGCAGTTTTGGCAGCACTGATGCTTGTTGCTTGTCCTTCATATGTCCTGCTAAACGCAATGTCTGTTGTTATATTTGTCCTGTAGACATTTCTGAAGCTAGTTCATGGATCTTTATACTAGCGCTGTACTACACACAGCTATCATTCAACTGCTTTAGCTATTTAGCAGTAGCTTTTTGTTGACTGTACTGTAATGCTGTTACTGATATGTATTGTTTGTATCTGTTTCATTTTCACAAACTTTATTGATAAACTCCACAAATGGCATCAGTGTCTCCTGTGGCTTTATTGATGAGTGTTCAGCTGACTGGATAGCTACGGAGATAGCGAGACAATTGACAGTCCTTGTGCATGTGCAACTCACAACAAAGATCAAACAGAAATGGGATGCTTGACTCCGTAGCTAAAAAGGAGCATTCAACACATAGGTTGAAAAGAGGTGCTTCGGCAATGACAGAAATACAGTGTTTGTTGAAAATGAAACCATGTAAACCTATTCTTGTACAACCCCTAAATAAAAGTATGAACCTGAAAGTGAGCATAATATCACCACTTTAATGCTGACAACAGAAAATGAATGTATCAATTTACAACATTAGATTCAGCACCTCACATTGCTGCACTCACTACTGGGTGTGGTTACAGGTGAAACAAAGCACACTTCTGCACACACCCAAACACACTTATATGGTCAGCTTTCAAAATTAGGCCGTTGGTTCCCTTAAGTTAAACATCAAGAACTTTACTCTTTAATATCTGCAGATAATTTGTTCTCACAAAAATATAGTTGAACTGATAGAGGACCAAACTTGAAACAAAATGACATCTTGTGTGAGTGGGATCATCTTTTTCAAGGTTTAATGTGTAGTCACACAGTGTTTCAATATTATCTTTTTTTTCATTGTCTTCAAGAAGAAAACACTCTTTTCAAAGTGAGTCTTCCTGTCAGTTATGGACAGCAATGACTGCTATTAAATGATAAGAGTAACAGCACTGAGTTTGGTAAACTATACTTCAGTATCCGAAGTATGTGTGTAGTTCCTACAAACATGCATATCTCATCTTTACAGTACTGCATTGAGAATATAAAACTGATGTAATGCGCATCACCCTGAAATTGGTGGAGGGGGTGTCATTATGTCAAGTATTTTCCTAATGCTAAGCCTGAACTCCATTCAAACCTGTTACAAAAATGACGGTAAAAACACTCCCTTAACATAAGCAATAGTAACGTCATTGTTCATCCCCGGCGAGTGCACGCCGCAAGTTTTATGTGGCCATGCCCACCACTTACACTGTGAGATTCTGTCTGCAGCTGCCCACCATTCAGTTTTCATCAACTGTGTGGCAAACACTGATGAAGTCATTGCAATATGGCATCGATAGGAACAAGTGCCCTCTATTTGTCATTTACGGTCTGTTCATTCATCTGATATGAATGACCGTGGGCTCATGGGAGTGTATCATACATGTGGATGAAACTTCAAACCAAAAGAATAAGCCCCAAAGAAAATCTGATCTGCACACATTTGAAATATAAACTTGCTATGCATCGTCTGGCTGATGAGGTATGCCATAGTATTTATATTATGGAACCTAGTGGAGTTGTTCAGCTCTTGAACTATGATAATGGAGTTACGCAGTTAATGCGTAAAGTACTATAAGTGGTCTATCTCTCAAACAGGAAGTGTAAAAAGGTCAATATCACATAAAAGATGTTGTTATTGCTCAGTGGGACACACATGAAGGTTGGAAACATCCTACACTCGTGTGCGGCGGTCCGCTTTAAAAGAGAGGAAACCCACACAAACAACTAAGGCTTTTATTTTGTAATATGCGTTTATTGTTCAATAAAAATAGATTTTTAAAAAAGTGACGTGATGTCTCCTTCATGACTTCGCCTGATGGATCTGCCAACAGCTCCTTGTAAACATGGGGCTTGACTTTAGTTTTTGACTGGAAAGAGAATTTTAAACCCCCCTCTTTCCCTTCAGTATAATCTTAAAACAGCCTTTAGCTTCTCTGACCTTGGACCTCTGCAGTGATGACAGCCCTACATTCATTTACTTTCACATTTAGGGCAGATACTGTACATTCATCCCCTGGTCTTGTTTGTCTATGTACATGGTTCGGTTTCTGGACGTGTGCTTTTGCAGTTGGCCCTCATAAAAACCGCTTATCACAATGTGAATAAAGAAGACATCCAACACAGTAGTTCAAGCCATTAATAAAACCAATTACAACTTATAACATCAGTTTTTCTTAAGACATATTTATACAGTAGTTACATGTAAACACATCTTTGAAGGTATAAGGAAACTAAACTCTGTAAACACTTTGAGAGACACCACTGTTAACTCCCCCTGTGACAGGTCCCATAGCATCCTGTCAACCTGGAATGCTACAGTAACTGAGGCCAGGTCCACTGACTTCCCGCATTAAACTCTCCCCTTTCTGGTGCTACATTTGGAACTGCTGCAGATTATTATAATGGTATGGTGTTACCAAGCTTGGTTGAGGTTTTACAGCAAGAAAAAAAAGTATTTTTTAAAACATTTATTTTACCATAATTTTCCCAGGAAGTCCCATTGAGATAAAAAAAAATCTTGTTTACAAGAGAGACCTGGCTCATATGCTGAAAAACAGGTGATATACACAAACAAATAAATAAAACTCAACAGCCTGCAGTTCCTGTGAGTGTGGGATGCAGAGTTTGATGTAAACAATGTTCTGTTTCAAATTTAATGAAGTGAGTTGAAGTATGAACGGAGAAGCCAAAAACTTGGCACAGGTTCCACACACTTCACTAAAAAGGATGGATTGTTTAGAGGCATTATTTATTAATGTGGTACATGCCAAACTGTGCAATACCTGCATCAGTGTTTTTGGTAAATCAAATTAGAGACAGAATTCATGTTTCATAGGAAACTCAACTGAGCTCTACGACTTGCAAGCCAAGCTAATCTGCTAGTATATTCAATGTCGATGGACAATTGGCTGTGCGAGCTATTAAAATGTTATCTAAGAGACCACAGTGACTGTGGGTTTGACCACGCTGTTTTATGAGATTTAATTTAAAAAATGTTACAATTGACAGTTTTCAGTTGGAAATGATTATTGAAAACCTTGTAGACTGAAGAGATGTGGTTTTTAAAATCTGATTTACTAGAAGTCATGTTTGAATGAATATAAAATTCCATCAAAATTACAAGATGTCACATGACTCCAGTATACCACGCTTTATATACCAAATGTTTTCGTCTATCTTTTGATGTTTTAATTTCAATGAAATTGCATTGAAGCTCACACTTTGTCTGCAGCTCCCTGTGTGCGCGTTCTGAAAGTAAGAAACTGTTGCATAGTAGGTGTCATATTTTGGAGGGAGGTTGGCTTGCTACATGTGTTGATTGTTTCTCATAATCATTGTTCAAATCACAATTTGCAGAAAATAATAAATAAAGGTTTTACTAATTTTCCAAGGACAGCTGTGTTATCTGTGTCTTCTCCTTCAGTAAAAGGTAGACAATTTACCAAGGCGACAACAACTGGCCTTCTGATGCCCATCAGTCACATCAGAATCCGCAGTTGAAAGTCTCTAAAAAATATTTTAAACCATCTTATAGTTTAGTCCTTTCTATTTTGAAGCAGTTTAGGAGACAGTCTGGAATACACGGTATGTTACTTTTCTAACAAACACAGAGCCTCTTAACTTGAGTCATCCCTTTCATACTAGAATCCCTTTGGGAGACGCTGCTCTAGACTGACGGGCACCATTTTCTGATGCATCTGGGAATACCACTGAACCAAACACAACAAAACACTGAACTGGTTAACTTTTAGCACAGCATAACTACAGTACTTTAGATGAACAATTCTGGAAGGTTTACATGCTTTTCACCATCTATTAGAAAAACAAAAAGAGTATTGCTTGTTTTGTCTCTGTTGTGAAAATCCAAATTAGCTGGTTTTATTTTGTGTTCCTTCACAAAACGAGATGATCGTATTTGTTAGCTACACTATGACTGAGTCTGCTATACAGAGCATGTGTTTCAGCAAAAGGGAAAAAAAGAGTACCAGAGAGCCAGTGCCAGGTTCTAAAAGATGCAGCCTCCACCCTCCTCCTCCTCCTCCTCGCTCTTTTGCTCTCTATCAAGCTCTCTCCCCCTTGCTTGGCTGCTTCACCACCAGACAGTCCAGTGGCCAAGAGCAGTTGAGTGACAGGCTGACGGGCAAAATCGTCGGGCCGATTGCGTCCTCAAGCGGAGACGCCAGCCCCCCTCTGTACTTCTCTATTCCTTCCTGCCCTCTGGGCTGGGTCCAGAGCCCACATCCTGGGAACATGGAGCCGGGCGGCTGCAGCCGACAGCTCTTTGGGAATGACACAATGAGAAAGTTCATAGGAAACGCCGTGTCCGCGTGTGGCTTGGGAGGCGATGACGCTGCCCATGTCACTTTGGCAACGTGCACGGCCCGATGCGCCGGCATCAATCATACCAGAAGTCAAAGTGGCGCTCCATTGATCTTGCTCAGCATCACAATGTTTTTTCCCAATGATTTCTGACAGTACAAAAAAACTTTTCTCTTTGTTCCATTTTGTTATTGTTCATTTGGTGTCCATATGAGGGTCTCTGATGTTCATAAAAAAAAAAGTCCAATGTACGGGAGAACACATTTCATGGAAACAGAAGCATTTCAGATAACATGAACACAGCAGAAAATATGACAATATGTTATAGCTGCAGTTCTGGACGGTGGGAGAGAAGATAGTGTAGAGAACAGCTTCTAGAGTTTAGGAGCTGGTTAGGAGCCTGTTTGTACTAACAGTTCCTTAATTTCAATACACATTTATCAAAAGAGAATCTGCACACGGCATGAACTCTTAACCGTTTTCTTGAACTCATTATCTCTGCTGGATGTATCACACCGTGGTGGCCCGGCTGTGTGTGAGCGCTAGTGGCGAATACTCCTTAATGCGAACGCATAGTTTGCCCCTCAGCCAGGGGTTCTGGAGCTCCAGGGGACAGAAATCATCCTGAAGCCACTTTTCTCTATTGTCCACAACCAGCACAAGGCCAAAGTGCATCAACTGTTCAGGACTGTAGTACACACACTGCTCCTGTTCACTGCCGCCCCCGCTGCTGCCGAGCATGCGCCGAGACACTACGTTCATCTCCTGCACCACCAGCTGGACCATCTCCCGCGCTGATGTTCCTGGAGTCACACAAAGCTGAAACACAGGAGGGAAAGATATTAGTCAGCTTTAGCCAGCATGTCACAAACACAACAACAGTGTAAAGGTGAATTATGTCAACATGTCAAAACAGATCTACACCTTGACACTGGTCTCCTTTGGCAGCCCTGTGCGGTACTGTGGGTACACTCTGAGTGTGGCATGACAGCCTTTCCTGAGGGCAGCAGGCGATGGTGAGGAGAGTCTCTGTGTGCCGCTGTCCTCCGATAACGTACGCGCTGGTGGAAGTGGCGGTAGGCAGCGTTCAGCTGTGCAACAGCGCTCCACTGACGAAGGCCTGTGCCATCTGCGCTGGGGCGAGGTGGAGGGCGAGGGGCAATTTGTGTGGCAGCAGTAAGGCCGGTGGTGGGCTGAGGTGGTGGAAGGGAACTCCAGGCTACTGGTTCTCACACAGAAGGCCTGTCTCTTCTCTGTGATGTGCAGCAGCTCGATCTGCCTGCTGGGCAGGATGAAATCACTGTCAAACAGCTCCGGGGCACCCCTTCGCCTTTCCCCTCCGCACCGAACTCCTCTGCCTCCGCCACACCGCTCGCCTTCCCTCCCGTGCTGATGCTCTGACGCCTGGAGGACATCTGGCGTGGAATCCCTTAGCGCTCCCCCTCCGCGTCCACCTCCACACATCCCTCCTCCTGAGCCGCTCCCGTCACTACGTAGGAAACCACGGGGCTCCAGCGGCACAGAGGATGAGAGCGGCGACGGGGGCAACAGGTCCAGCTCACGGGGACTCTGGGCACGGCTGGAGTCGTAGTCACTGTCGGTGGTGAGGAAGACCTCAGATGACCCCTCCTCGTCTGATAGTCCAGCAAAATCTGCAGAATGTGAGAAAAAGCACTTTTATAGCATATATAGCATATATATGAGGTAAAGAAATGCAAAATATCATCTTGTATTAAGTCCTGTTTGTAAGTTGCATATGAAGTCCTATATTTACAACTATCATTATCTGCAGAATAGGACAAGTTTCTTTCTTAAGGGTTGAATCTGACCTGAGTGTTTGCGGCAGGGTTCAGGTGAAGGCATGGGAGAGGGCATGAAGTCTGGCTGAGAGGAGGTGGAGGGAGGCTTGTCGGGCATCACTTCAGTGGAGAAGTCAATTATCCAGCTTATAAAGAGGCCTCCCGTTGGCTGCTTGTAGCGGGCATACTGCAAGGCGTCCATGATCCACCTCGCATCACGCCACACTTCCTCCATTTGCTGTTGTACAATCATCAAGACCATAACAGTTCATCTCAGAAACAATCAAATGTATTTTTGGATTCATTTGAAATTATCTCCCACACAAATACTGGTTTGACAGTACAAACACCTAGATGTCATGAGATGTGAGATGTGAACAAATACTGTATATATTCCAGCTATGGTCCCACCTGTATGTGTTCCTGGACCTGCTGGTGTTTCTTCTTAGCAGAAAGGAGTTCAGCCTCAGAGAAGGCCTCCCTCAGTGCCTGTTGGGACATGAGGGACTCCAGCTCCAGCAAAGCTGATACTCTGCAGTACTGGCCAATGAAACTCGGGCAATAGGCATTAAAGTGGACTGTGGGGAAGGGAATCCAACAAGAAAGAAAAAAAAAGTTAAATGCTGTGCCAGTAAAAACAGAAACATATTGGAAACAGCAGTTGGTGTCAAATACTTGTTTTATACCATGCAGAATGTCTGTGATTATGAACCGCCTAAAATTTGATATACTGACCCAGTTCAAAGATCTGCAGGGGCAGGGTGAGGAAGCCAGAGCGGGGGGAGTATGGGTTATTCTGACCAGGAGCTGTGCACACTTCATCTGAAGGTGGCAGGAGGAGCAGGAAGGATACTTTCTCTCCGAACTCCAGCACTTCCTGGCTGTAAATACGAAAGTCCTGTGCCTAGACACACAGACAAGTGAGGTCAGGAACCTATGCAAGTCTAACCTCACCTAGCAGTCACAGAATACTGATCATGTCCACCTAAATTTCAGTTTAACATGTATGCAATGTTCCCTCTGTGCAAGATCACCATGATTTTTTTTATCTTTTAAAATGTATTTATTATTTTAAGGCTTTTATATGATAGAGTAGGGTAAAGAGTCCTTGGTTGCACTCAAACCACAAAAAGTTACAGTTACTAGGTGGCTAGGCCACCATGAAGTCAGTTTTTATTTGAGTATCTTTAAAGTAGAAGCAGAGGCTCCAACTCCAATAGTGGAATGAGAAGTAAGGAATATGGTAACTGCATGGTTTGCTGTAATTAGGGGTTATTGCATATCGCTAATACACTGTTGAGCTCTTTTGTGGAGCAGGTCGAGAGTAAAAGTATCTTAGTCCATCCTCTCTGGAAACATCATATTTAAGGTTTCAGTTCGACATTCTGATGACAGTCTAATCTATCGATACATACAGTATATTAATACATACATCTGTGATATAACTCACGTAACTTTTCTTAGTACATCGTAGCAGTCTGTACAGTTCTGTATAGTGCTAGTTGGAACACTGGGTGATAAGAGGTTAAAGCTAAATGGACAGTGATTGCCATTGTGCTGGAATTCAAACCATGTTCTTTAACAGAAATCATGTAGAATTAGTGGTCTAACCAGAGCTGGATGATCGTCCATTGGAGCCATTTTGATTGCTTTGAGCTCTTGCTACAGCCTGCGTCTGGAGCTTGGCTGGATACATTTTGAGGAATTTTCACTGGTGCCATGTCATCAGTCAAAATTACTCATACTACACAAAATATTTTTTTGCATTTGGGAAAGAAGTGGTTGTAAATCTCACTACAGAACCTTGTGTTTAAGTTACACACAGTTTCAGATTGACTCTAGCCTAACGCTGACCTGATTGTCAGGGACATTAATGTGTGCCATCAGGTCCTTGATGGCGCTGCGCAGGTCCTGTAGGAGGCGATGTGGAGCACTCTGTACTTCATGGTCCATTTCCAAGGACTCCTCCAGAGAGCTGAGAGCTTGCAGCCACTGCCACTCCTCTCTAAAGCAACACACATAGAACACACACTCACAGGACTGCTATAAAGGGGGCTTCAGTCCACGTCACAAGTATCTTATAGTACCCAAAACCCCACAGACAATTCCAAACCACTGCACCTCATGCCCACCCCAAACCCACAAACACGGACCCACATTAAGAGGAATGGGATCCCCCACCTGGACACATTGCTGTTGTCCCGAATTTTTGTGTGACAGAGGATGTTGGGGAGTTTTTGGGGCACCAGCACTCTGATCTGCTCCACTGATGTACACAGCTTCAGGTAGCCCAGGTATAAGCCTGGAGACAAGGTCTTCCTGCTCCGCCTGTGATACGCCAGCTTCTCCTGGGAACAGCAGGCAAACAAAGACTAAGTAAGAGGACTGTATGATAGTGTTGGTTGGGGTTGATTGTGTGGTGTGACACTGATTCTAAATTTGTCTCTCAAACCACCCTCATATTATTTAAATGCTGTTGTTTGCTGTTGTTAGTTCTTGAGAGACTTCACTGTGAAGTTGAACATGTTTAAAGTGGAAGTCAGCACATTTTTTTGTATTTCATCATACAATTGGTTCATAACTGGCCACAAAACAAATATTTCAGCGAAATGTGGTTTTGCCAAAGGGAGTCTCCACCATTGTTTTTAACCACAAGGCCAAACCAACTTACATTGGAGACAAAACAGCATTGCAACAATGGTATCAAGTTTACTGGGTTATATAGACAAAATCAACTTGTGGTCTATGTCCAGATTGTGGTCGTTCTGAACAAAACAGCCACACAGCATTAGTTACAAAACACAAAACAACAACAATTAGCAAGATTATCATCATTACACCCACAATGCTGAAATTCAAATGTAGCTTTCCAATTTCCACAGCCTGAATGAGCAGCTTCTAAAAGTAAAGTGACTTTAAGATAATTAACATTCATGCTCGGTTGGCATCTGTCCAAGATTTGGCCTGAAATTGGCATTTTAATTAATTTGACGGCAAGTCAATTCAATATGTGTCCTTACAAAGAAGGTGACAAATGGAAGAGGAGAGTCATGGTGATTAATGTTTGTCTAAATAAACAGTGTCTGCACAAGCACTCGTAATTGGAAGCACATTTCAATTTACAATCCTATTGTTTGAGCCACAGAGCCTCGTGTTTGCTGGTTTTCTGTGAATGAGAGTTTGAAAACATTACAACGATAACAATAAATACATGTCTTGCAGGGCTTTTTGGGGGCATTTTGTTGTCGACAAAGTGCCTTACACTGCACTGTTTCTCTTGCTAAATCTCCGGGTAACAACAAATGCAAAGAATGAGCCTGATAAAAACCGCAACTGAGCTGACAAAGCCTCCTGCCATTCCTGACAGCTGTGGAAGCAGCCTGTCTCCAAAACAAAAAGCAAAAATAACCAATTTTCCACAACGGAACTAACTTCCAATAACCAACCCTGTCTTCCTGTAGGACTCACATGGAGTGTGATGAGAAGCACGTCCAAGGCAGTGGGCTCATCGGGGGACGAGATGGACTTGCGTTGGAGCTGGAGTTTGCAAAGCTGCGTCCAGCGAACCCCATCCAGGTTGGGACAGGCATTCATGTCCTTCAGGAGCACCAGCAGGGCATTACCATGCTTGTCTTTGATTGGCTCAAAATACACCTGACCAAGGTCTTGGGTCCCCAGCATTCCCTGAGGAAAGACATCAGATAATCATTGTACTGCTGTTCAGTGCCTTTCTTGCTTCTTAGAGCAGAAGGACAAACACATAGAATAGAAATAATCTTCAGACCATGAAGTTATGAGGTCATAGTTACTATAACCATAATAACTGAGGGCAAGTGAACTGAGCATCATGCTACCTGTAGCTGGGAGACAGCCTGCAGCATCTTGAGGCGTGTCTGCAGAGTACAGGAACAGGACGACTGGGAAGGACTGAGACACTGCTGCAGCCAGGGAATCTCCTCCCATAGATATGATACCTGGCACATAGATTGGATACACAAGTTTTTCAAATGCATGGATAGTATGGTCTATTGTTCTGTTTGCAGCTGATAAATAATGAGCAAAAAAGCATAACCTTATTAAATAAATAATTTCTGTTTATTAGTTAGTTAACTTTTAACTATTTTTATAATTTGCACGATGACTGTATTAATAGGTTTATAGTGTTTCATCAATTGTCTAAGTTAAAGTTTGTTGTTATGTAGCGGTCTATTTTTTTTTTCTCTCTCCCTCTCTCCCTGTATATCTGTCTATCTACCTTGGTAAACCAGAGGAAGTCCTGCATGAGCGAGCTGGAGTAGGAATCTTCAACCTCCACAATAGGAATCTGATCCTCTGGCGTCACCAAGACACTGTCATCTCTGTAGAATATGGATGTCAGATAGAGACCTCTGGAAAGTAACAAAGGAAAAGTACAGGTGTTACAAAAGAAACACCCCAGCACCGAAGGGGTAACTATCAAAATGACACATCGCATAACGCTTCACCACTGCACCATGCGTTGTTCACAAAATGTTTTACGGTTATCTTGTTATGGTGTGTAAAGCCAATGTGGTGAATAAAGGTGTTTAAAGTGAATAAAGCTGAGAGTAACAATTAACAAAATATCTACATATCATCTAAAATGTGTTAATAAGACCCTAATGCTAGTTGCTGTAATGCAAACCATGACAGTCATGACACACATAAGTAGTATTAACTAATATTCAATAATGGATATAATGTGTTCTCTCCAAATGTAATGAAAACGTATGTAAAATGACATGACAAATATTTGCCATACACATATTAACTGCAATTCCTTTTATATTAAAAGTACAGCATGGAGGTTAACTACTTTTACGTCACATTTCATGGAGGAAAGCTGGACAAAAAGACCATGTACCTTTTCAAGCTTTTAACAAATTTGCTGGTGGGTTGGAAGAGGTGGCGCAGGCTTTTGGATACTGAGTGCTTCCTCCCTTGTGGTGGAGCTTTGCACTGTTCTGTGTGGACAAGACGGAGAAAAGAGGAAGACTTGTTTGTTCCATAGCGACAGAATAATTGAGTAAGATTACTTCTTTTGAGTGAATATTCTGATGGTCTTGAAGCTTAAAGTCAGGGTACTTGTGAAAAACTGCGGCGCGACTCCGTTTGGTTGCCTGATTTCCTCGCTAACGCCAATGCAAACCTCTGTCCTGACAAACTCTAGAAGCATCTCTTCCAGTGACAGGTCGTTACCTAATTGACAACCAACCTGACATGTCCAACAACATGGTCAGAGTGGAATGTTTTTCGACATTTCATGTGCTCCAGTGGTGCAGCACCATTTGACAGTCATGCTGGCTGCCAACAGCAGACTATGGGCCTTGAGGGAACCACTAGCTCTCAGGTCCCAGAGGGACCCTAACCGTGTGTATATGTGTGTGTGTGTTTACCTGCATTTACTATAGCTGCTGGAGCATGGCATGGCTTGAGCTACAGCCATATGAGTGGAGCCAAGGAGCTGTAGTAATTTGTGTGTGTGTGTGTCTGTATGTGTCTTAACCCTTTGCCACTCACTGACAGGGAGGTCAGTAAAGTCTGTGGGGACATGTTTATTTTTAGTGGGCCTGGAGGCGGTTGGAGGCAAGAGAGGGAGGTGTGTATGTATATATGTATTTGTGTGTTTGTGTGGGCGCCTGTTGGTGAGATAACGTACCTCCCAACTCATTAGACACCCTGAGTCCTAAACCATTCACAGATTGCCTCTCCTCCCCTCCTAGGTGATCTTATGCCAGCCCCAGACCACTTAAAGTCAATAAATCCCCCCATTCAGGCCCCCGAAAAGAACTAATTTTCTCTTCAGGTGGACGAGTTGAGGTGGAGTAACAAGAGAAAACAGTGCCCCTCGACCCCTCTCACCTCCCCAAATTTCTCTTTACTCGCGAGTCTGTTCAGTTCCAGTCCTCCTGGCCTCAGTCCCTATTTGACACTGAGTAAGACAGACAAGTAAGGCCGACTGCTGGGGAGCCTGTGTTAGTCAAGGCCTCTTTCACAGTTTAATTAATAGTGTTTGGACAAGAGGGAGAATGTGGCGTGAGGCTATAAGGCAGGCTGCGATGGGGGTGCGTACATGGACATGTGGGAGAGAGTCAGAGTTGAAAGCATGTACTTGAATATTTGTGCCAGTTCATGTACATGGGTATCTATGCGTGTGCCTGTCTATCTTTATGTGTGTATATGTATGGACAGTAGACAGGACGACTGGCAGGCTGCGGGGGGTGGAGGGGGGGGGCAGCAGTAGTCAGTGTTAATTTATGCCTTCTCCCGACTCCAGCCCAGGACTCGTCTCTTACAGGAATAACAAACATGACCCCGGGACACGCCACCTTGGCTACCGTGCCTGAACTCTCAAACTCAATCAGTCGCCGTCTGAAGAAGCAAGAGCCACTCAATACTGACTATTATATTGCATCTCGCCCTATTGCAAATGTGGTCTGGCCACAGTGGACAATAGTAAGTGGGTAGGTGTGTTTGGGCATGTGGGTGTGCGAGAAAAAGAGAGACAACTTGCTCAATGCTAAATGTAGTTTGCCGTCATGTAAAAGAGTCAGTGTGGACAGGTTTTGACACTTATGGGACCAGCTTACAGCCAGCAGTGTTTGGGGATATAAACAGCCTGAGTGTGAGAGAAGTTGATCTGCATTTTGTCACAGAGAGGGAGAGAGGTATTCAGCAGAGGAAGGGCTGAGTCATGGAAAGACGCATAGGAGGGTGGGGGGGTAGGGGGGGGGGTATGATGGTTGTTAAGACAGAGGGGAGGGTATTATTTTTGAGGCTGGCATGCCGTCTTAGGGTGCGTGGCCCTCAAAGTACTTGTCGTGCTTGAGATTGTAAAGTGTCTGTCAAGGTGAGATGAAACACAGCAATTGGTGAGACATGTTGCACCTGTGAGTTGAACTGTCGATTGCTCATGTTCGTGTTTGTTTACACCACGAATATTTCTGAAACATGAACCACACGATGGCTGAAAAATTCAGACGTGTTTGTTTAAAATGTGACGAGCGCAGTGACAACGACAGAAGTGCAGGTTAATGTCAGAAGCTCATACCACAGCTGAGGGCCCTAAAAATTCTGTATCTTAGGGCTTGGGTCAAGTATATTTGTGGTCATGTAGTTTCAGGTTGTTATTCTACTTAAGAATTTGCTGCATGTAATGCCACATTTAAACTCAATAGCAGTTTGAAACATCTAGTACGATGTAACATGCACACACGTGTAGTTCAGTGAGTACTTCAAGTCACTATCACTACCAAGTATGGGGTTTTGCTTTCAGTAGGGGCCAAGCATGCAAACTGTTAAAGCTCTCACATTACTTTTAAGTCTTTTAGGTAAACACGCCCACTAAATCGATCAAAAAGTTGTTGATACCATGGCAGACACAGTGGCGGTGAGCTTCTTTTATCTGCCCAAGTAGCTGGTCTAGTGCCTCCTTCTGGCCTCTCTGACGTGGAGCACGGCCATCGATATCCCTCCAACCTGCAGACAGAGGGGGAAGAAAGGCCGTATTAAAAGATCTGTGTGTATCAGGCAATCCACACATACATACTTAACACACTTGAAAGAATGTCACAAATATTTTTAGACATTTGTATACACAGGAAGCTTTTTGAAAGCGTGATCTGTGACGCTGAAGTTCAATATTTGCACGTAAAATATTGTTATGTTTTCAGGTTGTGATCGTTATGCATGTGTTCAAAAAACACGCATTTCTGAGTACTAAAGATTACACACAAATTTTCTCTTGTAGATCATGTAATACATACTGTATTTGTGACCACTTTGAGTCTAATGTCTCTCCAGAAGAAACCACTGGTCCCAGCTCAACAAAGCAAAAACTGCAAAAAGATGCCACAATACTGTACGCGCACACAAAAAATGGAAATCTGCATGCAGTGAAAAATTATCCTTTAACTTTTTATGTAGGTCGACAATGTTTTTTGTCCAGTACTTGGATACTTCGTAATGTAATGACATTCCCATCAGCTTCACCAACTGTGCTTTCTTTTCTGTCTAACATGCCAAACTTAGACGGTATCTTGTCTTGTCAGACTTTGTTTAAACTTATTTCAACAGTTTGATTTTTGCTACATCATCTACAGTAGCCAAGATTACTCAATATAAGTGTACATGCTTGAAGACATGTTTAACAGAGATGAGCTGGCATATTGCCTGCCGTATGTCTGGTACTGCAAAATAGGTCTTCTCAGTATGTAAACACGATACGAAACGTCTTCTATCCAAGAAGAACTGCAGTAAAGTTTATTCTGTTTCTATGAATAAAGAAACATCAACCAACCCAGACTACTGTTAGAAGTTCCTTGTTTTTTAGGTGTGTAAACCTTGTAAGATTTTTATTGGACGTTTTGCCTCTGGGGAAGCTTACAAATTGTGCTCACAGTGGAAAGTTCGAATACATCAACATCATTTGGTTTATTTGAAATTGGTGAACCTGGATCTATGGACTACAGAGCAATAACTTTGGTTAAATGAAAATAAACTGGACTTTGCGTTTGAACCTTTATGGAAAACTTGTTCATCTGAAGCGTGCCTCTGAATCACAATATTCAGCGGCAGGCTCCCAGAGACTACATTATGAAATGCTCCAAATACAGGTCAATTGTACTGTATTTTCTTTTTTTTTAGTGATTTTAATTGTAATTGTTGTGACCCTTTTACTATTATATGACCATACGGTGCTGACACATACATTAGTGGGGCTTTAAATCATGATTTATACTTCTGCGTCGGGTCCATACCTCAACCTACAGCGTCAGCTGCATTCATTTATGGCTACGTGCGTCAGTGTCTGTGTTGTTTTGTAATTACACTGTCAAATGCTAGTTGGCGGTAGCACTACAGCGTCTACTCTGTTGACTTTTGCCGGCCAAGCAGGCTAACTTCCGGTTTAGCCTTCCCCTAACTTGAATGGGGGTAAAATTATATACATGCGGCTATTATAGATTTTTCAAATGTTATTGGCCGAATGGATCACATTCTGATGAAACGAGTCATTTCCCTTGGGGTGTAACGCTCAAATATATTGATCCACTGTGTTACAGCCGCTGGATTGGCCGCTAGTAAAATATACATCAAAGCACGGAGCAGTTCATGCCAGCTCGGAGGCATTGCGAGGCTAATCAGCTGACCAATTACAGTTCTTACAGTCCGAGTCGCCCCTAAGTGTAGTTTAATTTTTGAGGAGGTGCACGTCAGGCTATGGCGTAGGGTACAGGGCTATGCGTAGGCTAGGCCATCGATTTGTTGCAGAAGTATAAATCACATTTAAGTGAGGTTAGGATTTGGAGAGGGTTAATGAAATTAGCTTGCTTAGGACCCAAAAAATCTTGGGCTGGCCCTGTTCCTGAGGCTCCCAATACTATTATACTAATATAGTGTGAGGTGTGTGAGATGGCCTGCTTCTCAAACAGGTCTAGTGTGTGTACAGTACTATAGGAAACAGCACCCACTCCAGTGTGAGAAAGCTGTGGTTGGCCGACAGACAGACCTACTGAACAACACTGCTACTGGCTGCCCTGCACATATTTGGGCTCAGAACAGTCAGTACACACATGAGCAGACACATGTACACAGACAAACAAACATGGTGTGTTGTTGTTCCTCCAATCACATTTAAAAACACTGAAAACTGAAACTGTATTACAAACACACTTTCCCTTCCCTGCACATTCAGTATATGACCAGCTCTGCAGAAAACGATCCTTTAGCACCTTCTGCCTACTGTGTTAGTAAGCCCGCATCCTTGCTTGCTCACTAGAAGATGTGTCAGCGTTAACCCGCCCCTCTACCACCATCAACCATCAACCACCACCCCCCCCATCACTCCCACCCCAACTCCCTCTCCCGGAGCCCCCCGGAGGGTGCGTGGGGCTGAAACACGGTGAGCTCTATTCCAGGAAAGGTGCCTGTCCAGACAGGACAAGCGGGCCCTTTAATGGGCGTCCATGGGCCGGTATAAGGCCCCCACTGTTGGGGCCGCGCCGCGTGCTACAGCACAGACATGCAAATATTTCCAGTGGTAGGCCCAAATGGAAAACACAAACACGCAACATCGAAATTAGCTCTGAGAGAGGGCGGGAGGGAGGTGGACAGTAGAAAAAAAGAGAGGGAAAGCCCAGTCTCCTAAAATGAAGACGCACACACACACACACACTCACACACTCACACTTGCTGAAAAACACGGTGTGCTGATGAGGACAAACATGTTCATGTGTTCCCCAGATGTGCCCTAAATGTGCCAACACACACACACACACACAGTCACAGCACCTACTGTATGTTCGCTCTCTTTGGTAGGTGTGTACCAACAGTACAGGATTTACATGCTGCACACAAACAGTAATCATGAAACTCATCTAAATCATTACACTGAAATAATTACTTCACATAAATTCATTCGCTTACTTAGAAACACATGCAATCCTATACTATTTGGCCAAACATAAAAACTACATACAAAAGAAAACATTTTAAAGTCCTCAACCTAACTTAATAGAAAACATCAAATATAGATAGACAGACAGACAGAAAGATAAAGAAAGAAAGAGAGAAAGAGAGAAAGGGGGTCAGAGATTCTGTGGTGAGTCAACACCTCAGCTGTTGTTGCACATGACTCCACGGTTAACTTCTTGGCTGAACCCGGGCAGCTTCTTCTGCCAGCCCACCCCAAACGACATCCTGAGGCTATGGTTACACACACTGACGTCCGCAGAGGGGGTCCCGAAACCCACCCAGGCTGCTGGCCGAGAGGGTTCAGCTGTCACCCCCGTAATGATGTCAAAGCCACATCGGTATGACGCTGGAATAACCAAATCGATTGAGTGGATGTGAAATGATGCAATGTCCCAGTCTCTTTATGTGTGTGGGAAAGCTATGAGGGATTGTATCTTTCACGCAGGTCACACACAAAACACGCACACACACTTGCATCTTGTAGCTAAGTCCTGTGTGAAAACCATTTTGCAGTGGTGTTAATTTAGTGAGATTGTCAGTTCTATGTTTTGCTTTATATAAAATTGAGGCACAGAGATGAACATACACATGTGCGTATACACAATTGAGACTTACTGGAAGGTGCAGCACAGGCAGGGGTCGAAACTAGTGGAGGCCCCCAGCCCTTCATGTTGTAGGCCGACACTTGGACATAGTAATAGGTCCCCTGTAAGGACAGGACACATGACAGTTAAGGCAAAATGTAATTACACACACAGCTGCAACCTAAAGAACAGTGTCTGTGAATTTCTGTAGGCGTAAAAACATATGCATATATATGTGTGGTTCAGTGCATCTGTTTGTCTCTTGCTAGGTCCCTGTCTGTCTTAAATGAGTGTGTGTATTGTGTTTGGAGGGTGAAAGGTCTATCTAGTAGCCCTGTCTGTCTCTGTGCCCAGTGTGTAGACAGCAGGCCTCTGTCTCTCCTTTCTCAGCCAGATCAATCAAATCAGCCGCTGACACTTTCTGACCTCGCCTTGACCCCTGTCATGTGACAGGAGAGAGCTTTGGCTGGCAGCAGGCGTCTAAGGGGGGGGGGGTGATTCTCTCACACAATAACAAACAACCAGTGGAGCGTCCATTTGTCTACATGCCCGTTTAAAAATGCCAAACATAAATCAGGTGGCAGGCTACCAAGCTGCTCTTTTAATCATTTTGGATTATTTGCAACTGTTGCATGTGAATGGTCAGCAGCCAAGACTGTCAACAAATAACAAATAAACTGGGTTTTCTAATTGTGTTTTTAATAGGGCCATAAGTCTTTCACCCCCATCATTTGGCATTGATGGTAACTACAACTTTGTATGTGGAATTTGATGTGTGTAATAAAGAAGAGTCACTTGGGAAATACTTTCAAATGTCTTGTCAAGCTTGCATGTAAATAATATAAGGGGCCCTCATGTGAGAGAATAGCTTCTAAATTTTTTGTCAGATAGCACCAACAGCTGGAGAAGCTAGAGCTTAGTGGTTCTTTGCGTTGCTGTATCACCCATAAACTACCAGATAAAGCAGGATTGTATCCTAAGGTGGGAACCACTTCACTAGGTTTATGTGAAATGATGTGATGAGCATGGGTGCAGGGGAGGATAGATACACATGGGTAGATGTTCCATCCAGGAAACCCTTAAAATAAGTGTCAAATTTGTAGTCAGTGGTGCAGCTCTTTGTGTTCCCTTTGGCAGCATCTAATCATATAAGATATTTTGATTATTTCTGATTCCTACTGATTAAATGAAAATACTGAAAAAGATTCCACAGTTGATGGACTGTCAATAATATGGTAGAGACGGAGATTCTGGCAGTACTTACAGAAGTGAGTCCAGTGATGTTGCACTGTAGCAGAGTGGCATCCTCCACCACCATCTCACCCAGCAAAGGACTGAATGAAGGAGCACTGCTCCAACTCACTGCAAATATACACAAACATTTGCAAAGCTATAATTGTTTATTTTTTAAAACTTGTCTTCGATATACACCTTAAGAAAAAAAAGGGGAGCTAAAAAATTCAAAAAGACTTGTGACATTATTTTTTGAAGCAGCTGGATGGGCACGGTGGTTGACCTTTGTACTTGGTAACCACAGCAGAGTTGACGCAGAGAGGTTCTTGGAAGTCCACCCTTAGACTGGTGCTGCTGCTGACAGACAGGCGAGCTACACTGGGAGCGTCTGGAGGGTCTGAGCAGGCAGACAGACAGAAAGATGGCAAGTAAATAAGCATAGAGACAGCCAGGTAAACACAAGCAGACTAAGATCCTACACTGCACATATAACCACCAGCGAGCACATACAATAAGCAGCTAACAATGACATCATATAGATTTCCTAGCATGTTGCAAAACGTGTTGGTCACTACATAAACATCATTTTGACACGTGGTGTATAATTTCCTTCCATGTTCACACCACTTACCCGTCAAACTACACCAGTATGTGGAATTGCAAAGAAGGGAACGACCTATTTTGCATCAAAGTGAAGATTGCTTTGGGTGAAAGGGAGGAGTGTGTGCGTGTGAGTGAGTATGTTTTCGGGGGGTGGCTGTCTACCCTGCCACTAAGCGTGTCATGAAATGCCTATAAAAAATTAAAGCAGGAATACAGGCGTGTTATGTTTGCACACGCACAGACACACACAGAGTAGTGGGCTAGGCTTCCCAGTGTGGAAGCCATTAACTTGGCCCAGACAGAACGCCAGCAGAGAGAAAGGGTGCAAAACTTAAAACCAAAGTCAATTGCTGGAGTGATCTGAGCTTCCCTCAACTGTGCCCTCAACAGCACACACAACCGTCAAAGTCATCCTGAAGCCTTACTAGCATGCTCGAAGCCCGTCTGCATGCGTCGGAAGAGCCGGAGCCTCCACTCCCAGGCCTTTAGCTGCCTCTCCCGGTCAGATCCCTCCCGCTCACCAGGACCATCGCTTCCAACCTGGGCCTGAAGCTCCGACACCCGCTGCTCAGCCTCCTGCACCAAGGTGGCCAAATGCACTGCTCGGCCCTCTAGACTCACAACTAAGAAACACACGTGGGAGACAGTGAGAGAGAGAAAAGTTAGTGCATACAGTATTGAAAGAGTAGTGTCATTACAGTTGGGCACATGTTAAAGTGACTCCATTATTTCAAAACTACTTTGACATCCATAAAAATGCTTTTCTATTCACACATGAAAAGGCAGTTGGTAAATACAGCTCAAAGCTGAGTAATGCTGGATGGACTATAACTCTGAGTGGGCTGTTTTTCCAACCAAGAATCAAAGGGTAAATGCAAAATCCTGTCAACTGTGAAAATTCTTAATTAAAAGAGAATTCTCCTGTACAAGCATTGCTTTTTTATTAAAACTATTAAATCCAGTAGAATTAAACCATTGTGGATGTTTTCAGGAACAAAATGCGTTACCAGCTCAGTTAGAGAAGTTAATATTGTGTTGACGTTACTTTTATCAAGTGTCTCAACAATCCACATGGCTGGGCTGATAATGCAAGAAACCCACAGCCTGCATTGTTGCAAATTGCTTTTGCAGGCCACTCTTTTTAATGGCTTTGTTTGCCAAAATGCTGTAGCAGATACCTCAATAAACTTCATTTAACTAAGCAGTCCCTCTTTAGAGATGACATCACCTAGAAAATGACACAGAAAATGTGGCAATGAAAGTGAGAGTGGCAAGAGAGGGAGGAGTATTCTTCATATGTGGTTATAAGGGAACACATAATGGTGAGAACATGCATAGGCATCATTTTAAACTGCCTTTGTAAAACTATATTTCTGCAAAACTTGCGGAAAAAATGTGTGTAACTGATCTATTTATATCATATACCACATTCTCACACAGCCTCCATCAGAGGAACGTTTTCCTGAAATGGGGTAGGGTGTTACTAAAATAATGTGAGCAATGATGTTAACTTAAACAAAAAACGCATCACTATAGGAGATGAGATGTAACACCCAATGAAAATATTTAAATCATGGCCGTGTGGTTAGTGATAGTGACTGGTGGTGGCACAACACAAGAATCAAAGATAATCCAATCCAATTGCACAACGTGTACAGATCACAGGTAATGTAAAGCTGTTAAGGTCACTAAGTACAGTAGCATACTGTGCTTCGTCTTTGGTGGCTGGTCATTCTTGGAGTGTTTGGGACTAGTGTGTGTCTGTGTTTAGTCTGTGTGGTCTGTGTTTGTTCATTGTAGATTCCACTGTTGAGCGTTAGATTCCACTGTTGACAGTAAGTTTAAAGCTCCGTGTCAAAATGTCCATCTGGGTGTTTAATTCTGCGGCTCTCTCCGTGTCTCCACACTGGCTGCGAGCTTCTCTCTCATCTGAGTGTCTCTTCTGGGTGTCAGTTTTGTTGTCCTCTTCCGCCACTTGTGTGAAGATGTAAGGGCCGTTTGTCACTTTTAAAACAGGCAACGCGAGGTTCAGGGTTGAATTTTAAGGTTAGCGTTAGGGCTTAAGTTAAGAGTATTACTGAGGATCCTTGGACTTGGACGGATGAAAATAACAGTTAAAGGTCCAATTTTATTTACATTTTCCAGTCCTTCCAGGCCTCGAAACTGGTCCAGATGCTGTCACCAGTGAGTACGTGTGTCTTGAGTTGTCCTTATTTCACATCAAGGCTGGGATCCTCTACAGCACATTAAAGTGGCTTTGTCTTATTTATTGAGAGCCACTGAGGGATTTATAATGAATATATGAAGTTGCTTTTGAAATTTTGTTTGATTGTCTTCGTCTGCCCTTTGTCTGTCTCTCTGGTAACTACACAAAATAAAGCCAAGCGTGGCAATATCAATATGCATCAGAATCAATTCCTTTCAAAGCTCAAGGAAAAGTCTGCAGTCTTTGATGTCAATTGTCCTCACATGGAGTTCGATTAGTACATGCTTAGTACAAGGCAGGCCTTTACTTTCCTTATGTGCTGTTGTTCTCTCCCTTTCAGTCTTTTGTACAACTACACACCCACCCACCCACCCAACCAACTAACCCCCTCCCACACACACATAACTCACACTCTCTCATGAGTTACTTGAGTTCTGGAGAGAGCACAATCAAAGAGCAAACTTCAGTAAACATCACTTTCAAGTGTTTTCAATTTAATGATACCTTTATAAGACGTCTGGCACAGCTCTGCAGAAGTGTGTATATGTGTGCACACAAGCACAAAAACAAACAGCCAAGGAGTCTTACTGGCGAGTTCTAATCATTAACAGAGGAAGGGCGCAGAGGCTCAGCAGATCACAGACAGTGAAAAGTGCTTACGAAGATGACTAATATTGCATCATTATTACCACCCCTTCATCGCCTTTAATAAGTTTTCACTGCCAGCAGAAAACAGAACGAGATGTGTGAGTTTGTCAATAGCATGTAGATGAATGCATTACTGGTATGCATGAGAAGAGGTTGTGTTATGAGTTATGTGTGCGTCGTTGCTTTGGGCAACACCCGCGGTCGCTTTGGTGACGGCTGATGTTGTCGTGACAGCAGCTTTGTCTACTGTAGCGCAAACAAAAACTCTGTGTGGTATCAGCTCTGAGCTATGCTAAAGAAATTTGAAATCTACATTAGAAAAAAAATCACATAATTAGTTTGTAAAGCATACATGTTGTGACTGGCAGAAGTCAAGTAACGTTGGGTTACTAGAACATATCACCCATTGACTTAAGGGTCAGGAAATCAGCTTGCTTCAAAGTCAAGCTAGCACTTGCTATGGTGTGATTCATCTGTAGGCAAGCCAAAGTTCTACTAACAACAGTGAAGAGCTGTCAAAATTTACAAGGAAATGAATGATTAAATACAAGAGACTGAATTTATGAGAGAAACATTGCTCCTATTAGCACAGAGACATTGTGGTGACCCCAGAAGAGAGTTTGGATAATTTCTACAGAAAAGACTCAGTTTTATGGAATGATTACCTTTGTGCAATTTTATGAACAATAGGAGTTTAGCAACTTTGCACGTCCTCCCTTTAAATGAACACTCTCTAGCTAGCCGGTGCGCTATGTGGTAAAATAACAAAATTATCTTGCAACTCCCACTATATTGAGCATTATATTACAGCATGTTCATCTACTCTCTACCAAATCAGATGCAACTACACAGCAACTGTGCTTAACACAGTATTCGTCTTGTCACATTGCACAACACCTACTGCAGGTGTTGTGACTGGGTACTACTGGTACATTGTGTTCCTCTACTCACAGTGGGGGCTCTCCTTGGCTCCAGCCCGCAGAAGCAGCTTGGCCATGGGCACGTTGTTGGTCATGACAGCGATATCGAGGGGCAGGAGGCCCTCACTGTTTGGGGTGTTGAGGTCCAGCTCCTCCAGACTGTACTGGGACAGAAGCAGCTGTACCAAGTCCAACTCCTGGTGCTCCACTGCCTCAAACAAAGCTTCATTACTCTGGAACTGTGATATAAAGAAAGTTTAGATGAATTTAAAAAAGAACAGTACCAAAGGCTTCTGTTGTGATACCTTGGGCATTTCAGCTTGTATCGCTGAATATTGAACATATCAGCATCCCCGCACACAACATAGAGAATGTTTCTCACAATATATTTGCAATATTGCTCTACAATAGTTAGATGGGTGGGTGCATGATGCTACTACCTGAGGTTCTCTTACTATCAAAGTCTATATGTTTTGCCTGACTATTTTGAGACTACATGTTCCTGGGCTTATTATTTTTTCCTTCTCTTTCTCTCTTTGGCTTACTATGGTGGTTTTGCGCAGCCGCTCCTTTTCTCCTCCCCGTCCTGACACCACACTGTCCTCCAGGGCAGGGGGGTTTGTGCCCACACGGAACTTTCCAGACAAGTTGCGGTACAGGCGGCGAGCCGCGCTTGGTGAGGACAGGCTGGCCGACTTGCGGGTTGGGGCCGCCTGGTGGGCCTGGTCCCCCCTCATGGGCTGCGTCATCTTGGCAGTGTCAGCCCTGGAGGAGAGACGGGTGGGTAAGAGACAGGAGGGAAACTGTAAGAGCGGAATATGAAATTTGATTCAGTGCATGAGGCTTGATCACTTCTAGAAACCATTACAAGAGTTTACATCTCTAGAGAAGATCATTGCACTCACAGACAAATGTTAAGGCGCCACCAGGCCAAAACAACAGAGTCAGGCTCTGCACGCTTAAGCTTAGAAAAAGCATTTTTAAAAAGCCAGTCCTCTCCTCTTCTCTTCTTTATAGCTTGCCCGTTTATCTCCATAAAGCAAACGGTAACTTCCCTAATTTAATTAAATTTGAATAATTAAAATTTCTGTTACTAAAATGTAAAAATGAATTAATGGTGAAGTGATAATGGTGAAGTGATAAAGATGCTTAAAGGAAGTAAGGCCAACTGCTTGTTTAACAGACACCCTACCTAAAAATGTGGGGAAAATCCAGTCATGAAAGAAGTGGACTAACACAATAAGATCTAAGGACAGCAGTTTCTACTCTATAGGTTACTAAGCAGTTTAGGTTTCTCGCTCTGGAAAACAGCACCAGAAATTCATACAACTGAATGTGGTAATACTGTGTTAAGCCACGGCATCAGGGTCTTACATGACTCACATTGTACTATATATCAGCTCCCTATATCAATGCATTGTGTAACGTAAGTATAGCGGTGCCTATCAAGATTTATGTATGCATATGTAGAAAAGTGAACAGACTTATTTAGCCTTTTTAGCTTTTGTACGATCATCAGAAAAAAACAAGAAAATACAAAACATGGTTGTCAAAGGAAAAATACATTTACATAGTTCAAAAATTGTTTTTTAAAATCCCATTAACACCACAACCCCAAAGAAATTATCTTCAGCCCTTTGAGACAGGGGTCAAAACACCTGGCTGAAAACCACTGATCTATGGCATGGTGATAAATTACACTGATCTGCCAGATGGGCACCATGTTCGCATTATCAGCTCTCAGTCATAGGTGCCATATGAGTCATCCTGCACTGGCAATGCCAGCCTGGTAGCCGGTTTGTCAGCGCCACTCTGTAACATAATCTCTTTCTTATGAGTTTCAAAAGATCGGCATCTCTTGCCGATCTTGTCTTGGCATCACTGGTATGACGACTATGCTGCCCCTCTCCATTTTTACCATGGGAACTATGTATATGACAGTGTGTTTTTAAGGTGAGTCTGGTACATGGAAGCTGAAACACATTTAACTGCTGAAGGAAATGTCAGCAGGACTCTACAGGCGATGGTGACAGACTCCATGATGGGGCCCCACCAAACAGAATCAGAGAGATAAATGAATTCCTCAAGGACGCACTTTCAACACCTACTTCCTTCTGTTCCGTCCTCCTCACCTAACATCTTATGAACTTGTTTCTCATCTTATCGTCTTCTCCCCCTCTGCTGTTCTTTCCCCTTGCTCTCTGCATTTCGCTCTTTCCCCATCTCTCCCTATTGCCTCTCTTTTCTCTCCCATCATCTCCCACATTCTCTTGTTCCCCCATCCCTCTCTCCCAAACACCTCTCTTCTTACACTGATTCAACTCTGAATTTTATTTCAGTATGACTACAATCAAATATCTTTCTGAAATAGTTCTAGCATCACAACCCACTAGAAGCCTCCATACTCTTTACTCACTTTCTGATAAAATGTCATGAAAAGTTAAAATGACTTGATCTGTAAGACAGTCATTAGTAAGTAAACTTTTGAGACATCTATGTTCCAAAAGAATGAGATTAAGATAATTACCACATTTGAGCAGCATTTGCCAACCTAATCATTATCAAAACTTTGTTTGCAGTAACCAAAAGCCCATTATTTGAATCCCTGCAGCAGTCAATGTGTTTGTCTTCAGCCATGTGTCCTCTTCAAGTCCTTCAGAAATCCTTGCTTATTATCAGCCACTCTGGAAAACATCATCAGTTAAATACCGCAAATGTACATGTTGTTCTTAAAAAGCAATGCTTTGAACAGGGGCAGGGAGATGTTGAGGAAAGTCAATAAAGGTTGAGTTACGTTGGACCATCGTGCCATATGCCAAGAAGTATCACGCAGGCCAAGAACAGATTTGTCAAGGTGAGAACATCTGTAGGAAAAATGTTATTTATACTCCCGCTCCGCTATGGACGTGTGAGCCCACATGAGCACGCATACACATACACGGTTACGCACAAACCCTCCCCTAGCACATGCAGTTTGTACAACAGCTGACAGCAGCCCACATAGTAGACTTTAAAGCAGCTCCGAGCCCCCGCAACAAGCCCTTTTTCACAGGGCCGATACACCTAAAATACCCCCGATCCCCGTCCCTTCCCGCTCTGTCCCATCCATCTCCACTCCATCCCGTAATAGAGGCCTTATTTTAGACATCCTCGTGTTCCCGGCTGGGCCTAACCTATTCCAGGGTTCCAGATAAAGCGCGGCAGGTATTTGGAATAATTTTTCCATGGGCCTGGCCCGGAAGATAAAACAAGAGATATATTTGTAATGCGTGTGCCGGTATCCCATTTCAAAGAGAAAGCCCATTGGAATCCAGCCCCAGGCTTATTGTTATTTGCCTGAGATGGAACATACAACCTTTTTCTGTCGGCAGGACGGTGCCCCATCATTCTCTGACGACATTAGGGAGTGTTCAACGAGGTATGGGGTGTGTGTGTCTTTACTTTCAAAGAGATGGTGCATCCTACATGTGAGATTGGGATGTCATTCCCCACTGACATGCCTCATACCCTAGAGAAAGACAAAAGACAATCGTAACACAAAAAAACTGAGAAAAAGAGATCCAAACTCATATCATGACAAGGTGTCAAACCTAGTGTATCAGAAAGAGAATGTTTGCTGATGAGAAATGAATGCAGGGATTCCTACACAGCTTTTCAGCAACCTATGTATCCATACGGTAAGCTGATGACCTACACATGGTGCAAGTATTTTTCCACACGACAGCAAGGCACAGTTGAAGGAGTTGGATACTTTGATTTGAAGGTGTGCATTAAATGTAGCTCACTGTGACTGCTCCTTCTTATTCCATTACTCCCTGCAATATTCAATGCTGATCTGCTGTCAGCACATGCTGACAGTGACCGTGTCTTCTTGTAGATGCATACTTGATGACCAATCATGCTAACCTCAGTGACAAATACATGCGTTTTCCTGTGACAGCTTCACAATAAAAGCCACCCCGTGCTTAAAGTGAACTAGCAGCACTAGGAAATATTCATTACATGGATTACATGCATGCTTCGTTTCTTGTGAATCTCTTGTGTTTAGGTAGGTAATTTAAATACAGCGCAAGAACACTACTTTTCAGATTTATTGAAAACCTTTAGGATTACAATGACAAACTTTCCCCAACTTATAAAAGGCATAGAAAAATTCTGTATTTTGCCATAACAATGGGTCAAATACTTAAACTGAGTGAAAACTGATAACATAAGTTGGCTGTATAAGTTATAGAAGTTACACAAAACAGACCGTATCATCAACAACATAACCACCTTGAAGGCATTGCTTTTGGACCAAGACTATGACTGCTAGAGTAATCTGTATAAATGACCTGAGATCAAAGCTAAGACATCCCATACACACTGACACGCACACAGACAGAGTCTATGTCACACAATTTCCTACACTTTTACCAGGTTTGGGAAACAGGAAGTAATTGTTCTGGGAAACCAAAGTCTCCATGTTTGGCCCCCGATCAATCCCACATCAAATACAACCAGGCTGCTACAGTGAGACTGATTCAGCCCGACAAACAATCAACACCCTCAAGCTGCAAACAATATACACACAGCATCCGCTTTATTAGTTATATCAGACTGTTTACACAAACAGCTTAGTCCTCCAGACAGTGAGTCACATACAAACAAAGACAACATATAAAATACGCAGACAGAGACCAGACAATTACATATTGTTTTGCTAAAAGTCAAGATTGGAAAGACCCGTGATTTAAGAAAATGTAAACAAAAATTGGTTCCAGCATCGCAGAATTTCTGAGATGCAAGCTAAAAGGCAGCCACAAGTATGCACATCACAGCTCATAACAGTGGCGTGCAGAGGAAAATCTCAGGAACACTTCAAAGCAAATCTGCAAACTGACAGCAGAGTGGAAAATGTTGCTTAGTCTGACGACTCCCAAGTTTATGTTGCAACATATAAATGACACGGTCAGAACTGTGAAAAAGAATCAATCCATTCAACTGACCCCCTCCCCCACTCACACACACACACACACACACACACACACACACACACTAATGGAAACACGAGATTCCCACATTTAAATCTGAGCATCTTGGTGTGCTAACAATGAAATTATCCACAGCAACTAGACACCTGTCCTGTTCTAGTGGTTCAACTTTGTCAGAATTTGGATTGGATACATGTTTTTCTCTTTCTCGTCATCACCATTTCTTTGATTTGGACAATTTTTTCCCCTCATTCTCCCCCATTTTTCTTTTTTTTCTCTTTTCTATTTCTCTTCTTGTTGCTCTCTCACACATAAGTTGTTTTTCATTTCTAACCCCCTCTGCCTGTCATGTGGCTGCAATGGCGTTGATGCAACTCAGGGAAAGTTTAAGAAAATCACTATTTTAAGACTATTAATTGTTCCACCATACGTGGTAATGTAGGAATGGTTAAGACAAATGGGAACTTGAATGTGAGCAAAAAATTGTTCTTGGCCAGAGTTTCCTGCCTTTATAAATATAGATTACATTAATCTAAACTATAAACAATGGAACATTTCTTTACAACACAAACACACACACACAGGCACAAAGAGTTGTGGTGTGGTATATACAGGCATGTCTTAATGTGTGTGTGTGTGTGTGTGTATATATGCACATATATATATATATATATGTGCACAAGCATATGGGCTCAGAGAAAGACAGAGAAGGACATACTGCAACTATATATGGGCACATACTGTACATGTATCTGAAACACCTTCAAAGCATGGAGCTTTGTAGATTTTTCC